GGGGGGGGGTTTAACAAATATACTAGACTTGTTATGCTTGATAGGAGTCTAACAGGTATGTGAAACTGCACTCCAAGTTACATACTACTGGCTAGTATTTTCTATATATCTCGTTTTATATGATATTATTATTCTTATTAGTTGTGGAATCAAACATAGTTCTTACCATTATGATTCTTTTTTAAAATTTTATGATTTGCACGATTTTCGAAAATAAACTTTTATTTCAAAAAATTAAGAATTAATATCTGGATTAATTTTAAATAGTTTGATTTTCTCAATCCATAGAGTAAGATTAATTAACTAATGTATGAGATAGAATTTTCTTTTTCCTTTTCCACATGAAATACTAACTTTATACTCAAGTATGATGAGATATTTAGTTACTACACAAGTTACTCCCCAAAGACTCTTCTTATAGGCATACTTAACTGTGCTGTGCTTAACCTGGTAAGACTTCAATGGTAACAAATTACTGCGAACTTAAAGAGATTTCTTTTTGATAATCCAAATTACAAAATTATAGGGCCATCTATCTGTCAGAAATGTTACTTTGAGGAACAAGCCAGAGAAATCAGCCGCATAGGAGAAACAAAGGCTGATGCGCGTGGCATAATTTTAAACAATGATCCCAACGCGTATTGCCAAACCTGTTTCACTTTTGTGGTATAACTCAAGCTTCAAGAACATGGCTTGCTTAGTTTTTATGCAATTTTATGACACTGAAAACCAAAGTTTCAAACATAATCATGACCTTGTCGGCCTTTTCCTTTTCAGCATTTTTAATTTCATAAAGGACTTTAAAAGCACTCTATTCTACTTAGGATTATGTTGAAGGAACGAAGGCTTCCTCGCTTCTAAGCCAAAACGAACTAAAAGAAGAAAAAAGATTGTGACGCTATCCCCCTAGTGGTACTCATTTTTCCTCAAGTCAGGATCTCAGATGTTACTTTTTCACAAATGTAGGTTGTTTTCCTTCCATTTTTTAATAAAACGAAAAACATTGAAAAATAATCTCAAGTTAAAAGGTTCAGGATGGTATTTGAAGAGACATGATATATACAAACACCTTTAGAAAAATTCTGGGCTTCACTCAGAATGTTTAAAAAACGAACATTTACCATTCCTGAAGAGAGCGTCCAATGATCAAACCTTTGCATTAGAATTTGTGTGAGAGAAGGAATAATTATTGGCGACGACTGTTTACAACAATTGCAGAAACACTAACATCGTCTAAGATTGGAGGCTATTAACAAGTTACGCAATAATCTAAATTTCCACAATGAGAATGTTGTGCGAACATAGGGAGGAAAACATTGAGAAACTTGGGACTTCGTCGATGGCTGCTCCCTCTTCTACACAAAATTAGCTATACAAAATTGTTCTTCGAGTGAAGGGGTACTGCACTTGCAGAACAAATTACAGGATTGGCGTCTCCAGGAATTAGAAGCAATTTCACTTGCAAGATTTTCATTCTACACTTGTCAATGCAGAAACAGGGATTCCATGCTTTTGAAACCATTCGGGCATATGAAATCTTTCGTAGAGCACAGGCCGCACATCTTTCTGCTGGGAAAGATGCTTGAGAAGTGGAAGGATAACCTCCAAAAGCTGATACAAAATATATAACACTTGTTAAAGTCATGGGAGCATAATAGCAAATTTGAGGAATAGCTTTCATACATGTTTTCTTATGTATTAGACCTGTATATCATGCGGTTGTCCAGCAGCAAATGGAATGCACGGAATTCCATTTAGAGGTTGTAACAAAAAACTAAATGGATTGTTATCAACAATGACAATTCGGCTTAGATCCTTTGATATGCAAGATAAATCCTTCACATGTTCCCGATATTCCCTGAGATGCGAGCAAAGCGTCAAACCCACAATAATAAGCTGAAAAGAGATTTTATACAAAGAGAACTGCTTTGATTTAGTCGAATAGTTGTGTCGCATCAACAATGAGCTGAGTTTGCAAGGATACAGAAATCAAAGAGATATGTTGATGCCACAAATTCATGGAACCTTTGACTGAATGTCATAATATTTGATTATGAACCATTAGATGCGGCAAATTCATTATCTTTTTTTATAGGAATGTGCTGCAAATTCATTATCTAACGCAAGTAATCAATTTCTCAAGTAATAACAACCTTTCTTTATCTTTGGGAATCGAAAGAACTCAGTTCATCATTTTCCTGAGAGGAAAAAGGCTTAAGAATACAATAATTGGGTAAGCCTGTTATCAGTATCATTTAGGTAACTTTCTTTGATTCCTGATAGGTAGTATCATGTAGAGAATGTACAGTTCGTAAGGAAATCAGGTCCTTTCATGAAATAATCCAACGAGATTGAATTATTATAGAGCAGATTTTGATAAAAATGATGCAGCAATGGAAATTTAGCCATCTAAGCATGTAACAAGCATTGAGCACCAAAATATCTCAGAACAGAGACATGATTTGTATCCCAACATACTAAAGGTGTCTTTGCAAACCAAACGCCCATCACACAATTCCTGGTCTCGAGATTTAGTACATTCACAAGCTAGTCAAGAGTCCCTTCGGGGACATCCGATAAAAAACAAGCTAGTCAAGAGCACTAATGTTAGATTATATTGATTTTCACCAGTTTTTGGCACAGAAAGTTCAGTGGATCTGATAATAAACATTGAATCAGACAATGGTCCAACATAAGAGATGTGCTATAAGGCTCGAGAAACTTTTGGAAAGAGACATTGACATAGATCTACCATATTTTTCAACACATTAAGGATTTAATTTGCAAAATTATCAAACACAGCCCAAACACCTAATATGTGACAACCTGAGCTGGAAAGAATGATCCTCAAGGTACTATATGACAGATAGATGCATAGAGTTACTGCTAGATATAGATTCATAGTGTGCATGCAGGACCTGCAATGAATGGACACCTACACAATCAGGCTTGCTTATCATAAAGTTATAATCTTAACAGCAATTATAGTAGTATCTGCTGAGTTTCCAGAAAGAGATTGAGCTAAGAAATATAGTCATTTAGAGCTATATTTTAGTCAGAGGATGAATCATGAAATGCTCCGTGAACGTGAAGGGCTCTGAATAGGGTTAGAAAGGCAAAGTGAATCACTATGACTTACAAGTCAATCAGACAACGACAAGAGACTTCGCCTTCTATTGCTTCAAAATGTTTAGTTCAGATATATTTTTTATGAAAAATGTTTAGTTCAGATATTAGCTACTTAACAGTTACATAACTGATCCTCCAACTCTCCGAACACTTTGGTACTGCAGAAAATAAAACCTTCCAGCCAGGGCCATCAAGGTAAATTCACTTTTTTATAAGGGCCATCAGTGTAAATTCATAAAGTCAGATTGACAAGTCAATTTCAAACATTTTCCATCACTATAATGTCGATTATATGGTGATTACATATTATCAACTTTTCTCTTGGTGGAATACATCGTGACTTTTTTATTCTACCCAGATTTTAATTTGTCTGCTACGCCACGATGGCGTGACCATATTTAGACAGTGAGATAAATGTGGCATCAAGACAAAGACTAGTTAGGAGGAACCAACTCTGAAAAGTTCACACTCGCCAGCTATTTGCAATCTATGGAAGGTCAATGGCTTCAAATGCAGTTTATGGCATCTGATGAGCGCGCGCGCGCATACACATACCAAGGCCAGTGGTCAAATATGTACTAAGAGAGGACTCTGCACTTCTCTCTTCAAGAATAATCACATGAACTGTCAGAACATGTGGCCTTGACACTAATTAGCACCCCTATGTTCATTAGATAAATCTTCACTTCAGAGGCTAATATGCTATAAGGTGACACCAGATATTCGGCCCAGAAAAGACGAATTAACTTGATATGTTAACTCAATTCTCCTGTGGAAGACAAATTGCGGGAATCGAGGCTGAGATGGTTCGGGCATGTGAAGAGGAGAGGCACTGATGCCCCGGTCAGTAGGTGTGAGAGGTTGCCTGTGGCAGGTCAGAGGAGGGGTAGAGGGAGGCCTAAGAAGTAATGGGGAGAGGTGATTAGGCAGGACATGGCACTACTTCAGCTTAACGAGTACATGACCCTCGATAGGAAAGTCTGGAGGTCGAAAATTAAGGTTGTGGGTTGACAGGTAGTCGAGAGTGTCCCCTTGTCTTACCAATAGTATTAGCACTAGTCTTGTATTTTCCTATTCCTAGTTCCTTGTTTTTCCAGAGTGTGTCACTAGTACCAGTAGTTGACACTAGTCTCGTATTCCTTGTTCTTGGTTATTACATGTTTTGCTATTTGCTTCCGCTGCCTTTTACCTTGTTGTTGCTATTATTTGGTTATTGCTTCCTTCTACTGTTCTTGAGCCGAGGATCCATCGGAAAAGGCCTCTCCACCTTCATAAGGTGTAGGTAAGGTCTTACCCTCCCTAGACCCCACTTGTGGGATTCCACTGGGTTGGTTGTTGTTGTTTACTCAGTTCTCCATCTGGTATTGAGGTTGCCCCAAAAAAGGCGAGTTAACTTGAGACGATTACTTAGTTCTCCCTCTTGTATTGTAAGATTCTTTTGCTTTGAGTGCTTTCTGTTTTCCCTTTTATTTTTAGAACATGTACCAGCAGTCCGGCACATCATAACATAAAAACTGAAATAGTTTAACCTCACATTTGGAATTAGCCACTAAACAGGAAAAAGAAAAAACATAAGAATAGAAGCAATACTGACGTGCTAGTTGTTGAAGGCCGATAAAGTCTCATGCTAAACCGATTCCCGAGATCAATTTTGTCAACAAGGGGCCTTGCATAGCCTGCACACAGATAACAATGAGAATTAACCATGTATATATGAACTAGTAAGGAAGATGACAAAATAAATCGCAAATTAACGCCCAAACCTTCAAGCCCAGCAGTAAACAAGACAAGATCGGCAAATTCACTGAGTTCTTTTAAAAAGTCGTGCAATCCAGGACGTTCAAAAACTGTGACATAGTTGATCTTAGGTTTGCTGTCGCATTCCTAAAACCAACAGGAATATATTGAGATAACTATTTCAAGAAACTTGCGTGATAATCACTTAATTATAGACAGAAGAGGGAATATGACCTTGTCTGAAGATATGCACTCAAGCTCAAACCACTTCAATCCAGCCTCTGTGGCCTGGGTGCGTACGATATTGGGCAAACTTGATGTCTCATACGCACAAACTAAAGTTTCATCCAAATCAAGAACCACCTGAAAGCAATAGTTAAGAACTTCAGGAAAAATCTAAAAAGAAGATTTTGGTAAACAGAAAAAGATTGGGCCAATTAGCAGAATGCACTGATTACAGCAAAATTCCATAAATAATTTTACTATCTGCTTATATGAAACCCCGCCAGGATTATTAATAAACCATCTTCAAGTCCCACAACCTCTCATAATAGTCAGCTTTCTGATACATTTGACCACAATAATCTTACAAATTCCAGAACGTCTTTGAGCTTTTAACTTTCAACTGAAGGACATCAATTCTTTAAACCAAGAGGCTGTATTCGCATGCAAATGTAGAAGCAAAATGCAAGACTGAAAGCACCAAAAAGCATGCAGAATCTTTCACCCTCCGCGATTGCCATTTGAAATGAATCCACCTCAAATTTAATAAGACCCATCCAGCAGAGCAGAGGATAACAATACAGCAAATATGCGAACAGCGTATTAACTCTTCAGGGCAGTGACAGGGTTAACAGAGGTCCTACTAACCAAGGCCTACCTAGCAAATACAGGAAGAGCTGCCTTCACTTTATCAAACAAAAGAAACTACAGGAAGAGCTATAATACACACAAAAGAAATGCCAATCAATAACTACGCCTCAGTCACGAACTAGTTGGAGTTCGTTATATGGATCATCTACAATAGAACACACAAGAGAAACGTCACATCATAAATATTCTGATGATATAGCAAGCCATGGAGTTGACATCAGTCACTTTATTTTTCCTTTTTGGATAAGTGACATCAGTCAAGATTTAAACATCTTAAAAGTTGACATCAGGATATAGAGAGGTAATGTTTGGCTCCAATAATCTCCTATAGTTTAGATGTCTTCCTTCAATTATCCGGGAGTTTCTCTTAGTTTAGAACTCCTCTAGTGCACTTGGGCAACATTAATAGGGAATAGAAGACACAAATAGTCCCCTTAGGACATGCTATTATACCACTTATCCGCACCAGAGCCTGCATCATAACCCAACAACAGCAATTGTAATAACTAAAACCTATCTAACTCCCTTGAAACCATTCCCATGTTTCAGATCGTCCTATCTATCTCATTCCCAAGCTACAGTTGCACCAACAGCATAAACCTTGCCCAGCATGCCATCTTCCCAATAAACTAAAGAAAAAGTATTACAGCAAAGAAAACAAGAATAAAGAGAAGAAATCAAAGAAACTATACATATTTTAAATAATTAAAATAAAAACAAAAGAAGAGAAGAAATCAAAGAAACTATACATATTTTAAATAATTAAAATAAAAACAAAGGAAAGAACATGAAAACAGCCAGCAAATAACAAGAATTAGCGTATGCTTTCTTGTAAAATAATGCAACTCCCCTTTCATTTCACATTTATACTCAGACATATTAACATTTCTTAGACATTTTATTTATCTCCTTTTCATCAATCTCATCTTTCACACTCCTGTCCTCTCATCCATCATAAGTTCCCTCTATAGCTCCCTTCCTACCATCTTCTTTGATATGTGACTTCCTTCCCATTACTTATATAAAAAAAGTAACTTCCTTCCCATATCAAGTTGTAGCTTCCATTAAATATCTCCATCTAAATCATAGGAATTTAATTGCTCATTATATGCATATCTAAACATAAGCCAGTTTGGCATGTCACATTCATTCACAGTCTGTCTATATTTAAGCACACTACTGAACTACCTATGTCATTGTAGTTAAGCATGCTTCCACATCATACAGCTCCTCCGGCAATGGAGGTTGATTCCCCATCCATGAGACCTCTCCAACATACACACACAATTAAAGTAATGGAAATAACAGATCCTGCACTACCAGAGCCTGCAGCAAAGCCCAACCACAGCACTGACAGACTACATAATAAAAACCTAGCTAACCGTTTTCATAAGTTCTTATCATTAGTCATATTTATCTGGTTTGCATGGTATAGTTGCACTAACAGCATAAACCTTTCTGAGCATGCCAACTTCCAATAGACAAAAGAAAGAAAAATTAGAAAAATAGGAATAAAAGAAGAAACCAAAAGAAACAAAACCAGAACTGCCAGCAATATGGAAAATCAGACCACTCCTGTTTCTAGTAAACCAGAAAACTTTCGCCTGTCCTTTCACACAAGTATTCTGATATGTTGATACTTCTTAATACACATCGCACTTTCCCCGTATTTCATCAACTTCATCTTTCATATTCTTCCTGTCGTATTCATTCATCACCACTGCCAACTTGAACTTCTTTCCCTATTGAGTTGTAACTCCATTATATACCTCCATTTAACCACCTTGAAATCTAGTTGCATGTCATATGCACATCCAGAATAAAGCAATGATGTGTGGATCTTCTCTTCCCAGCTTGTTTCCGTTTAATCACACTACTGAACCACCTTAACCATTGTAGCTTAGCTTGCTTCGGACTCATATGGCTCCTCTAGCTGGAGATGGATTATCACATCCCAATATGGCTTCGACATAATACATGGAAGTAATGGTAATAATTTGAAGAAGAATTAGAGATTCCCCTTAATACCCAGAAAAAGAAAAGAAGTTCTAGTACATCACCTCCTAGGAAATAATTGGAGAAAAGCACGCCCATGCAATTTGGGAATTAAAACTTAACAGTTTATGTCCATGCATTGCTCTTTCACAATGAATCATCAAGAAACTTCCTTTTTTTGTTTCTCCATCTACTGTTTCCTTTTTGGTACTTAGGTTTATGGCAACACTAATTAAGCGAGAAAACGCTACAACAGATGACCTACGGAGACACTCCTAACTAAAGAAGTAACAAATAATAGTCATTCATCCCAGCACCGATTAGCTAGGTATGCAACCTGAAAAAAGGTTTGCAGCTCTAGAAGAACAATGCCAATATTTGGCTACAAGATGAGTCCTAAAATTCCTTAAGACTATTTAGTCTGCTTCAGTAGATGTCAATATTAAAACTTCTTCCAAATTCATCTTGCTAAAATTTGACTAACTACTAATTATTACTCCTGTATAAACTTGTGTTGCACCCATAATAACTACGGAGTATATATATCACTGAGTCTCTTGCCTCTTAAAAGTGTTGGTTTCGCAGTGCAACCAAGATTGGTTAACATTAAATTCTGTTCCGTCCTCAGAGAAGAAGCAAAAATTTGCAGACCTAATAGTATTCACAAACTTTAAGACCAGCGAAAATGATACAGGTGAATTGATTGTTTGACAATCTAATCAACTCTTTCTCTCTTTATCCTTTTTTTTTAAATGAAAAGTACACAATCTGATTACCTCATGTGTTGAAAACTAACTCAGTTTTAAGAAGGCATCAAACACTTCATCTGAATTACAGTAAGTAGCTAAACATAAAGCTAAGGAAGCATAACAAATAATGAACAACTCAAACGAAATCTACGAACCAAAATATTACATATGATTCTACTAAAAATTAAGCTTCAACTCCTAAAGCCTAAGCTCGAGATGAATATTCAATAAGCTTTAACTATTTCTAGAAAAAGCTTACCGTGAGTCTCCGTAGATGTTGGTCGCCGTTACCATCACGAACTCTTCCGGCGTCGATTTGCAAGGTGGAAACAGCAACAGACGGTTGCTGCGGCGGCGGAGGCGCCTCCTCGGGCAGCTGAGACTCCGGCAGCTCAACAACAGGCAGTGGCTTGAACTGCGGCGTGGAAGAGAGGAAAGAGCTACTATTACGTAAGCCGACATACGAAAGTACCTGACTCAGAGACGGTGTTCCTCTAACGATCTGAACGAAGATCTGAATAAAGAAAGCCAGCCAGCTCAGAAGCGACCTCCAAGCTGGTAGACTCCTCGGCGCGTAAACGTCCGCGGCGGCTTGAGCCAGCTCCGCCATATATATCTTCACCGGTAGATGCGCAGAATGCTAACGTGCACAGTGGGTGGCGTTTCACCAGTTTCTTACAATTCTATCTGTTTTGTGAATTTTTATATATGAAAATTGTTTGAATAACAAATTAGGAAATTGGAGTGCGGGCGGAGGTGTGGTCAAGGTGGCGCCTCGACGAAGAAGTCATAGTCATTGAAATCTAGATAGATTGAGAAAATGAGACGATAAAAAGAGGGGGATTGTCACGCGCCGGTGGAAGAGCGTCGGCGTTGGCGCTACTTAGTGAAGTGGGAATTCTAATTAATTAACTTATGCTTTTCTTCTGCGTAGCAATTAATTTTGTTTATTAAATCAACGCAGCAAAGCATAAATGCCGCTGTATATATTTGTCCACCGGATTCCTTTAAGCAAACCATCATTTTATACTTTCACAAGAAGAATTTTGAGAGCACGCCAGGGGAGTTCAAAATCGAACCGAAACCAAAAATCGAACCGTAAAAAGGGCTTAATGGCTTATTGATATCGAGTTAACGAGTTAACGGTTTAACGGATGGAGAACGGATTGAAATTTTTTTATTAACGTCTTATCGGTTTAGAATGGATTATTCAATTTTCTTAACGGATAATTCGTTAACCCGTTATATATATATATCCATATGCAATATGTATATTAAATAAGTAATAAAAATCCCGACTTACCGTGGCATTATACAAGCAGAAGTGTTAAAAGTGTTTCTTTACCGGTACCCTTCTTTAGAGTTTAGAGTACCTTTCTTTACTAGTACTCTATTAGACATTTAGATTTGAGACATTAGAAACCCTAATGTCTAAAAGTGTTAATTTCAGTATTTCACCCAGCGGCCAGAGCAGCAGACTCGCCGTCTCCCTCTCGCTGACTCGCCTCTTCATCTCGTCGTCTCCATCTCGCTAACTCGCCTCTCCATCTCGTCGTCTCGCCTCTCCCTCTCGTCATAGCCAGAGCCCAGAACAGCAGATGGTAAGTTTCTTTTCTTGTTGATGTCTTCAGAATATTCGATCCTCACTGTTGTAGTGTTGTTTACACCTTTAAAATCAAAGAGCATCTCAAAGTATTCAGCCATTTCACAGATCTCCAATCACTGGGATTTCTTCTGAAATTGACATTCCAACTGTTGCCTTCTTTGTCTTGTGCTGTTTTGAGATCGATTTTGATAGTTTCTGTTTAAATATCCGTTAAGGAACTTGTTATTTTTATTGCTTTTCTTTTCTTGTTGCAGTGACTCATAGCATGGCTAAAAATATACAAAGTGATAAGGTGATGGGTGAAAGTGGGGCTTCTAATTTAAATGCAATAAGCCAATTTGAAACAACAGAGTCAAATATAACCAAAAAAAGGAAGAAAAAAAAGGGTTTGTTGTGTGGGATCATTTTACAGAAACTATTACTTCTAAAGGGAGTACAAAAGCAAAATGTGACTATTGCTTTATTGAGTATTGTTTTAAGACCAAAGACGGTACGCCGACACTTCTTTCTCATATGTTTAAGTGTCCCAAACGCCCTGCTATTGTTGATAAAAAAAAATAATCAAATTTAGGTTTTCAATCTGTTCCGGGGTAGTCAGGGTGACGTAGCTGTTGTTACTTGAAAATTTGATCAAGAAGAGTGTAGGAAGGTGTTATGTCGTATGGTAATAGTTGATGAGCTTCCTTTCAGATTTGTTGAGAAAATTTTTTTTAGAGACTTTATGAAAGTGGCGCAACCTTATTTTCGGATCCCTTCCCGTAGTACTGTAACTAGGGATTGTTTTGATCTTTTTAATGAAGAAAAGCAAAAGTTGAAGAGGTCTTTTATAGAAATGAAACAAAGAGTATGTATTACCACTGATACCTGGACTTCTATACAAAGAATCAATTATATGTGTATCACTGCCCATTGAATTGATAGTGAATAGAATATGTATAAGAGAATAATTAATTTTTGTCATATTGTTAGTCATAAAGGCGAAGATATGGCAAATGATATTGGTAGGTGCTTGCGTGAGTGGGGGATAAATAAAATCTTCACTGTCATAGTTGATAATGCAAGCTCAAATGATGTGACACTAAAAGAATTGTCTAAGCAATTAACAAAAATGGAAACTAATCTGATGAACGGTAATTACCTTCACATGAGATGTATGACTCATATCATGAATCTTGTGGTCCAGGATGGTTTAAAAGAATCTTCAGTGTCTATTGAACGTGTTAGGCATGCAATGAGATATGTTAGACAGTCTCCTGCGAGGTTGAAGAGGTTTCAAGAATGTTTTGATGATGAACAACTCAATTGTAAAAAAGCTTTATGCTTGGATGTTCCAACTAGGTGGAATTCCACCTACTTGATATTGCGCAGAGCTGTTGAATTTGAAAGTGCATTTTAACATTATGCTTCTAGTGAAATTATCCTAAGACATTATCTTGAGCATTCTTATATTGAAGTTGCAAATCCTACATGTGAACTTTTGAGTAGTGATTGGGAGAATGTAAAAAGAATTACAAAGTTTCGTGCAATCTTCTATCTTCTTACTTTGAAAATATCTGGATCACGTTATGTTACATCGAATATTCATTTTCTTGAAATTTGTGTGGTTGCTGTCTATTTGAAGCAATTGATAGCAAATAAAGATACAATTTTAAGTGAAATGGCAAAGAAGATGAAAGAAAAGTTTAATAAGTATTGGGGTGATCCAGGGAAAATAAACAAGATAATTTTCATTTCATGTATTTTGGATCCACGTTACAAGCTCGAATGAGTTGGCTATGCATTTGTAAAGATGTTTGGTAAAGATCCGGGGCAATTATACAAGCAGAAGTGAAGAAGTACACGACTTCATTATTTAGTGAGTATGTAAAGTCCAGCTCAAAAGGTGTCGTGCTTGCTTCATCTTTAGATTGTTCTTCATTGGACACTTCTACTTCCGGGCTTTCTGGCAGTCAAGTAAGCACCCAAAATACAGGACTTTTAGAATCACTAATGCAAGATATAAAAAAATATAAAAGTGGGAGTGGAGGTGTGGATACTAAAACAGAGTTAGATAAATATTTTGGTGAATAAACTGAGGATGGCACTAAAGAATTTGATGTTCTTCTCTGGTGGAAATTGAACTCAGCTAGATTTCATGTTCTTGCGGAGATGGCTCGTGATGTATTAGTTGTTCAGGTTTCAAGCGTGGAATCCGAATGTGCATTTAGTACGGGAGGACGTCTTCTTGATTCATTTAGGAATTCATTAACTCCTAAATTGGTGCAAGCTCTAGTGTGTCTTCAAGATTGGCTTCGAAATGAAAAATTAAAATAACCTATTAGTGTTGAGGAAGATCTTGATAAAATTGAGCAGCTTGAACAAGGTAGTAATATTGTTACTATATTTGTTGTATATAAGTGTTGTGGATATGCTTTTATTTATTGCAAGACTCATTATTTTAATTTTTTTTCTTCACATTTAGCCAGCGATGGAAAAGACCCTTCCGTAATTGATGTGTAGTGTTAATATATCTGGTAAGAATTCGAATTATAATACAGTATTAATAAATCTGTTAATATATTTATCACGTGACTAATGTAATAATTCGATCGAATTGTAATATATTTATCACATGACTCATGTTTGTGTATAATTTTAATTCTGTTACAAGAAATCTTTTTCTAAAGTATCTTTGTGTATGTTCTAGAGCTTTTTGGCAGTTATCTGTTGGTGAAATGGAGATCTTGTCTCCCAGTCCCGTCAGTGGTTATGCTTTAGTGATATGTCCACTTCTGGTATGTCCACTTCTATAATGTTGCAATTCATTTGCTGAATATGTCTTCTTACAGTGTTTTTGATAAGGCAAAGGCACTCTTAAGTGTCTTACATAATTGTCTTTTTCTTAAGTTTCTTACATAATCGTGGGATAACATTTCTAGCAACAAAAAATGAAAATATGTAGGTCTTTGCTAGAATATGAATATTCATCTTTAAATGTACTACTGAAGTATGTAAAAGTGTCGAGGGGCTTGGATTTCATTGTTTTATTGGGATAATAAACAATGGAACAAATAATTTAGTCGCATTTCAAAGCTGGGCTAGTTCTGCATTCAGTTGATTTTGACTCATTCTGACTTCTAGGTATTAGCAAACTCATTGATGACATTCCAGTATTTGGTACCTTTGATTGAAGAGCTGATGACATTCCATCATTTGTATCTTTGTGTCACGACCCCAAATTCCCATCTTCGGATCGTGATGGCGCCTAATATTTTACTTGCTAGGCAAGCCAACGTTAGAATGATATTAACTAATTTTTAAATAATATTTAAATTTATTAATAACAAATAAATAAACACGAAAGTAAGGTCTGAAATATAGTGATTAATCCATAAAGACAACGGTGTCTAAATACCATCCCAGAATTGCTGTCACAAGTGCACGAGCTTCTAGAATAAATACAAATAAAGATCTGAATAAAATAAAGCTGTCTGGAAACAAACACATAGCTAAAGTAAAGTAGATGGGGACTTCAGAACTGCGAACGCCGTGCAGTTATACCTCAAGTCTCCTCTAAGTAGCTGAAATTCGAGCAAGTCTATGGTACACCACTGGGACCAACTCCAAAATCTGTACAAGAAGTGCAGAGTGTAGTATCAGTACAACCGACCCCATGTACTGGTAAGTGTTGAGCCTAACCTCGATGAAGTATTGACGAGACTAAGGCGGGTCACATACATTACCTGTACGCAATATTAGTAACAACAACAATAGTAGAAATAAATCAGGTAACTCATTTATAATAATTGAAGCCAACTCAGCAGTCATAACCAATTATTATTTTCATCAATTCTGTTGCAGCGTACAACCCACTCTCACAATATATTCACATTCAGTTCTGTTGCGGCATGCAACCCGATCCTCCCATATGGACTTTTAATGAGTCTGTTGCGGCGTGCAACCCGATCCTCCAATATATTCATTATAATTAATTCTGTTGCGGCGTGCAACCCGATCCTCCAATATATTCATTATAATCAATCTTGTTGCGGCGTGCAACCCGCTCCTCCAACATATTCATTTACCAATTCTTATAGAAGAAATTTCTCCAGTAAATGCAACAATTAATATAAAATTATAAGACAACAAGTATATAATAATTATGATTTAATTAGGAAACAAACAAAGGGCAAATTATTATAGAAATCAGAGAGAAAATATGCAGTTTAATATTTAAAATGTTAAATGTCAAATAACAATTAAGGCACATAA